CAAAGAAGCCTATCACGTGTTCAGTAACAGGCAGCATGACTGTGGAGATGACACTGACTACCAGTCCTGCATCACTTTCCCATAAAGTGTATCCAAAGGATATCTCAGTTTTGAATTTGGATTAAGTATGAGTTAACCTGCAAGGGCAAACGCCTAGCTGTTTCTTTCTCATTCTCACCAATTTTGATAGGTGCAATATGCAAAGAGATTGGAGAGGAGGGGTTATTGATCTCTCTCTTGCTCTCTTTTTTTTTTGGAGTTGACCAGTTCATCCTTTAGGTTAGCTAGTAAAAATCCATAATGCCAGGCCCATTCTCAGTAGAAAACTCATAGCAGATAACAAAAAAGATGCCATCATTGAAGTCCTGATGAAGTAGTAATTTTGGATAATAATTGGCAAATGATTATGGATATGAATTCCTCACCAAGGGCTAATTTAAGGCTTGTCTAAAAGTCTTATATTCTAACTAGTCACATATAAAGTGGAACACAACAGTATGTATATACTATATGCTTTCAATATGACATGTTAAATCATTGAAACGTGAAGAATCCTGGATATACAATAATAGCTATGATCACAGCTCATTTTTCTATTCCCCTATATCTTGTTCCACCTATTTCTCAGAAGAGAAGTAAAGTGTTGGGCCATGTTGTACATCCTATGCAATTACGTCACTCATATTTTTGCACAGTTCTATGCTGTGCATAAGGTGCAGTCACAAACACACTTAATCTGGTTACTGAATTATTTGGTTTTTTTTTACTCATACAAATATTGATCCATAAACTAATCAGACTAGCTGCTTAAGCAAAATGCATTAAGTCACCAAAATCTAACCATGGTTAATACCAACCACACATGTTGTGCAAATGGAACTGCTAGGATTTCATTTGACCTGGTTAATATGGTTGTACGAATACAGATATTTGTTCATCCCAGTCTGTTTCACCCTGGTGAGGCTGGGCCTATAGCTCCAGCAAGTCGCTGAAGCAAACAATGGATCTGCAGCAATCAATGCTGGTTATGGATTCAGAAAATGACAATCAAGCATGTTTCAGGACCTTGGACAGATCTCTTAGAAAGCATTTGGTTTCAATTGAACCCTTATATGCCACTAGGGCTCACAAGGCCTTCTAAGCTCCACCCCTTTTCTGAAATATACAGAAGCCCTTTAGGATAAAACAGCATTTCATTAAATCTCAATGTTTTTCACTGGGCTAATTGTCTATATTGATGATAACCTACCCAGCCCTGTACTTGGTGCAAACTTGTGGTCTAATTTAGGCAATGGGTTGTCATCTGGATTCTGCCTGCCCCACTGATCCTTTGGATTCAAATACTGTAGTCTCTTTCCTTCTGAGTGATGGTGTTAGTCATGGATCACACCCTTCAAAATCAACACCCCAGAGTCGTGAGTTCTTATTCGTCCCATGACACTCACTTCTTGATGTATGTCATCAAAGTTCTATTTCAAAAGCACAGTTATGAAAGATGATTGATTTTTTAAAAAGAAAAACAGAAATGGATCATGTAAGAATAAATACATTTAACAAAAAGAGAAGGAGATTAGGGTTTTTTTTAAAGTTTTTTTTTAGGAAGTTGTATAGGATTTTTGGCTTCATGGATTTTCAGGTTTAACATAACAGGGTGGAGACACAGAGAGTTTAGGGCTGAAATTTTATGTCCATGGATGTAGCTATGGAAATGAAAGACAACTGAGCAGAGGTTTCACATCTGTATGCTCCTCAGAACATACACAAAGACAGAAAAAACAACCACCAGTTCCTGAATGCTATATTTCTATTAAAGGGTAACTGATTTTAGCGATAGTCGTAATGTAATTCAGAGATTATAGTGTATACTGCTAGTCAGCCCTAGAGTGAATGTTTAGCTCAACCCTAACTCTAGCCCTAATCCTATGTGGATTCAAATTGGAACTAACTACAGTAAAATGAATAATTAATAAAACCCTGGGCTTCATTGTATTTTAGAAGCCAATCCTATTCTGTGCATTATGAAATAAATAAAAGCCTAATGATGTTTTAATTTTTGTAGGGTTTTTAAAATCACACCCATGAATGCAGGAAAAAAGAACTGTCACTAAAATCAGTTACAGTTTTTCTTGATGGGATTAGGTTAAACACATCATATCCATTTAGGGTCATGACCTGGTGACATCAGCATCACATGGGGTTTTGTTGTTTATTTTGATGATGTCACTGATTAAACAAACAGATAAGCCCCCATTAAAATTAGTATACACTATTACTACTAGTGATGAAGATCAGGATGACATGAAAAGTAAAGTTTTGATGAAATATATATATTTTTTTCATGAAGTCACTTGTATATCCATAGAAACAGAGAAGAAGAGGTCAGTTCTCCCTGGGAGAAAGAAATTGCCTTATCCTACACACATATGAGTCATGCTTCAATGCAGCTGGGTTTTCTTCAGACCTGAGACCAAAAAGTGAATGAGCCACCAGCATGAATGGATGGTTTAAGAGCATGAACTTTGCTGTGTTTATTCAAATAGACTAGTTTTAACTGCAGCTGCTTTGTCAAGTCTCTACTGGGTTTAGCTATGAGGATGGGTGTGTGGGTGGGTGTGGGGCTTCATGCTCATTAGACAGAAGAAAATCTCAGATCCCTGGTGAAGATGCAAAAGGCATAGGTTTGGAAACATCTAGGCTTCTCTGCTGGTTTTTAAAGCTCTTACTTTATATCACTTCTGCCCTGCCTAATGCCTTCCAGATGCCTTCCAGTTCAGCTCCCATAATCCCATGGGCATTATAGGAAATGTGGTCCATTGGATGTAGAAGGCACCAGGTATGGGAAGAGTGCCCAACTTCCATTGGTTTGAGGATCATGCCAGACTTTGTACAGCATATTGAGGGCCACCCTCTAAAATTGGATAGAGCTAGTTACCAAAAATTATACCAGTTTAGAGGGGGAGGGGTGATTTTTTAAGGAGTGAAAGGAACTCACGCTAAGCTTAGACCTGCTTCCCTTGAACCTTCAAAAATAGTTCTTGCTCTGGAGAACTTTGCAGCTGTAAATGTCTTCCCTTTCATACCCTTGACTTAGAGATAGAAGAGGGTTTAAAACACTGAGTCAAGCTTGGAAATACCTTTACATTTTAATGCATTGAGGAGGAGAGAGGCTCAAAACATGTTAATGGAGTCTCCATGTATGTGGGCAGTATATCTCTGAATGCCAGATGCTAGTAACAAACACAGGAAGATCATCTCTAGGCATTCTTCACCCAGAAATGTCTCTGGATGGCTGCAGCTGGAAAGAAAATGCTAGATCAAATGAACTGATAAAAGCAAATTTACAGCCTGGAGGGAAAATATAAAAAATATAAAATCTAAAAAGGAAACAATGGCCCATGCCCAAACTAGACACAAATGTGAATGCCCCCCAAACAGAACAGTTGTTTAGATAATTCTTCCTCCTTAAGTTCTAGTAGAATTTATGTGGCTTGACAATATTATGATTCTGTGTTTCAGTGACTGTAGGAATTGGACATTAAAATAAAGTATGACTAGAAAGTATAAGAAGGGAGTACAGAAAGGAGGTTCAACCACACAGATGTCCTTTTTTGCCTTGTGTGCTCAAATATCTCACCCTACTTTTGGTGCCACACATCTCAACTTTGGTCAGGGAAGGTAGCAAAATGTCAGAGTTCATTTAGTCCTCTGCTCTTAATTAATCCTGCTTGCTTAATTAATCTCATACTCTCCATTTCCAGTAGACCTTTTAGGAAATGATGCCCTTCTAGGCTGAAAGCATGGGGTGCACCACAGACCTTCAACTTTCAGACGTGTTTTGGTACCATCTTGCCTGATAATTTGTTGCATGACTGCTCCATTTTCATTCCATCCCTCTGCTCCTTAATCCTATTCTTCCTTTCTGAAAACACTGTAGAAGGTGAGCTGTGTTAGTCTAGGAGAGCAAAAAGTTAGGAGGAGTCTGGTAGCACCTTTTCCAACTAACTAATTTTATTAAAAGACATCAGCTTTCATGAGCTGCAACTTTTGCCTTTTAATAAAATGTGTTAGTCAGAAAAAAGGCTACCAGACTCCTTCTGATTTTCTTAAAGCAGTGTCTGGAACTCTCAGTGTTTCAACCAGTGTTTCTCGACCTTGGCAACTTGAAGATGTGTGGACTTCAACTCCCAG